TTATTTACTTATCATTAAATTCTTAATTAATGACTGCGATTAATATAGAATTAATGTAATGTAATAGTAAATTTAGTTATAATTATTGCAATGTAACGTCGATAAAGTGAGTGAAAGAAAAAATGCAATATTTTGAGAATAGTTATTACTACAAGACTGTAATAGGTATTACAGAGGGATCATGTAATAGCTATTATAGCTTTGACGGTAATAGGGATTATACTGCAAACTAGTACAACCAGACGTGTTGTAAAAATATCTTGGTAATACTAGGGATCAAATTGAGAGACAAAAAAGATGCTATCCGCAGGGTGCTACCAATTTCTTATGGGCCACCCGCCTAGGCGAAGCGGGCGACCTAACTGACAATGGACTAACATAGAGTTCATGGATCGCAGAATTAGTCGGGCGACGTCCAAGTCATCCAAAAATGAAAAACATAGAGAAATAAGATAACTGCTAATACCCTAAAAAAAACTCCAATTTTAGCTTCAGACCCAATTTTATTATAAACTTTTTTTTGTCTTATAAAAAATTATCAATTTTTACTTGAGTTTCATATCTGCCTCCGTTAACCTTCCATCCAAAATCGCCCTTAGTGATGTGGCATTTCTACATTATTACTTTAGTTTTTTCCCAAATTTAATATCCAAGAAGATGTTTTTTAGAGATGAATTTTCATGTCAGCCCAAACGACTTATTATTGGATCTAAAATTTGGGTAAAAATTGGAGTAATTATGGTTGGCTTTCTTCAAATGCTCTTACTCTTAAGAGAGTATTCATTTCATCTTGCTCCAGCATCTTTGATTTTGCACTCAGTCTTCAACCTCTCGTGCTCAGGAGTCTTCCATATTTTGCGATCGAAGAGCTTGTGCTCGAGACACTTTTGAAGACGAATTTTCATGTTAGCCCAAACGACGTATTATTGGATCTAAAATTTGGGTAAAATTTGGAGTAATTATGGTTGGCTTTCTTCAATTGCTCTTACTCTTAAGAGAGTATTCCTTTTATCTTGCTTCGTGATCTTTGATTTTGCACTCAGTCTTCAACCTCTCGTGTTTGGGAGTCTTCCATCTCTCGCGATTGGAGAGCTTGCGCTCAATACACTTTTGAAGATAAGTTTCAATGTCAGCCCAAGCGACGTCTTATTGTATTTGAAATTTGGGTAATAATTAGAGTAATTATGGTTGGCTTTCTTGAATTGGTCTTACTCTCAATAGAGTCTTCCTTTCATCTTGCTTCGGGATCTTCGATTTTGCGCTTAGTCTTCAATCTCCTGTGGTCAAGAGTCTTTCATCTCTCGTGATCGAAGAGCTCGCGCTGGAGACACTCAGCTCGGGACACTCGAACAACTCATGCTCATGAGTTTGCCATCTCTCGGTTTGTCAAGAGAATTTTGGATGCAGGGTTAACAGGGGCATATTTTGGACTTAAGTAAAAATTGATGGTTTTTTATGAGACGAAAAAAATATTTATGGTAGAATTAGGACTAGACCTAAAGTTGGAGGTTTTTTGTACAACGAAAACAAATTAGGATAGAATTAAGACTGAATCTAAAGTTGGGGTCTAGGGTATTCAGGCCATAAAATAACTGACCAATTGCTCTTGGATCAGCCACTTTATCCTCCAACAGTATCATGGAGTCTCCTATTTGGACCCTCGTCCTCTCCTACTACATAGAGATGTAATCGATTTAACCGCCTCTTAACAAAACGAAGGCTTTCATTACATCTAACTTCTTCAAATAATCTAACTATAGAAATGATATTATGATTAGTCATGATTAACGTATTTTATCTTATTCTATGCAAGTAAGGTTACGCATGCCGATATTTTATCTTTAGTTTGAGCATGATTGGTGAAGACCAGACTTGAATCGATGCACGGAATGGTCCGAATTGCAAGAACACAGAGTTAGGACTAGAACAGAGTATTAAAATAGTAAGCCATGTATTTATCTATCGGTTTAAGCTTTTAAAACAGTTGGTTGTTGTTTCACAAAATCTCACATGGTACAAGAGCAGGATATTCCGAGTTCAAATTTTCCATACTCCTTTTGCCTCTCCTATTACATATTTCTACACTTGAGGCCTCAAGGATCAATCCTGGGTTCTCGGAGACCATCTACCTGGCTAGACTACCAAGCATCCAACTGTGGTCCAATGCGCCAACAAGATGTTGGGCGTCTCGGTGGCGCATCCTTGTTTATTTAACAAATTCCAATTGTGTAAATTATTTAGTTAGTTCTAGAGGAAGCCAAGTTGGTTTTGAGTCTTAAAACGGTAACACTTCAAGTATGACTCAATCTTTGAAGTCAAGCTATTAATGAGAAAGTAATTTTTCATAAATTTCCTGGTTCTAGTGTGAATGGCTTCTTTTATATTGGTTATAAAGATAAATTTAGCGATCTGATGTGTGGAAGCTGCTAATCCAAGATGTCACCTTACTGACTCGGTTATTCGTTGAAAATTGGCAACTTTTAGAAAACATTTGTTAATTTAATTGTTTTTATTGCTTGAAAAGATAAGTCAATGAAAAATTTTCTCATTATTAACAGTAATTTATGCTTAAACACCTTTTGTTAACGATGGAAATATTTTTCGTACCCTGCAAACAGTTGATCTTTTGTGGAAGGAAAAGGGGCAATGTTATTTCAAGGCCGTGCCCGGTTGACATCACAATTTTGCAAATCCATCTAAATTAAGTGCTAAATATCAAAATCAATCAACATTACACAACTTTACCAATGAGAAGCCAAAGAGAAGTTTCCGAGAGAGAGAGAGAGAGAGGCCAGAGAATACAAGGATACAAGCATACAAGCAATGGCAATGTCCTAATGTTGACTATTCGCCAACATGGAGTGAGATCGGTCTTGTGTTCTCTAGCACTTAAATGAAGCTTTGCCATCTCGACCCAACACTCAGATTCTTTTAAAAACCATCGACAACGCCACTTGACCCGACGGTCGGGGCCAAGCATTTGCCCTCGCATGTGCCCCTCTCCTCCACTGCTCGAGTCAAAAGAGTCCACATGACTCTCGCAACGCGACGACCCAATAACCTTTTCCCTCCTTGTCCTCTAGCTTCCTTGATTTCTGCTATTGTCATGTCTCTTTCGGTCTTTAGTACTCTGGTTGTTGCACCTGTTTATGGCAATAAGTTTAACCCCCGAGATTGGCATAACTAGGCGAGCTGTCACTAAATTTCTAAGTAAAAAATTGGACATTGTTTGCCCGAATCATTGCGTGCAATCTCATCTAGATCGAGGCCACCTACACAAGTTAAATATTCATGAACTTAATCGATTCATAGACTTGCGTGATCTTCCCTAGGCTTTCGGATCACCGAACTTCTGCACTCATGCCCATATAGAAAGAACAAAGAGAATGGGGTCGACACGTTTTATAACGAGATTGTAGACGGTCCAATTGTCCAAGGCCTCAGCAACGAGTGTTGCGATTAAGTTGCGCACAGATGGATTTCACTCGTTTCGATGAATTGGTATGGATGAGGGCATTTATAGATTCGGCGATTCGTTGGGTACTCCATAATTTAAATAATCCGTGGGACGCTTGCTGCACACATGGGCAGTGGTCTAGGAGCATATATGTCCAGAAAAAATTTGCATGTGATGAGGTAACGTGAGTTAACATAGCATGAACATGAGAAGAATCGTCAGTGAGAGCAGAGACAAAACTTAGAAAACGATCACTGAGGCATGGACACAATCCCACATGTTGGTCGGTGATCACTGGTCGTCAGAAGACACAACAACTAGCTAACACATGAATACTATCCCACATGCTCGAAGTGCTCCTTTGACCCTGACCCAAAAAAGAAAAGAAAAACCCTAAAAAAAGATACAAGAAAAGAAGTGCTCCGGGTATGTACCCTCATCGGAAAAGGAGGAACTCACACATGCATCATTGCATACAGAAGGGACCCCAGAATAAAGAAATTGAAAAAATGAAAGGTGGACTGGTGAATCAGATCTTATTTTATTAAGTGTTAACAAAATGATGATGTTGGTTGGCTGATCAAGCTCCAGAATGTTGCTTTTGATGGCAAGCCAGGGAAGAAGTAGGACGATAAATTTGAAATTTTTGGTGGGCTATGTTGTAATGATGCTTGTGGTGATATTCATACTTAGGAGAGCCTTGGAACTCCTCTGAAAAGCTTATAAAGCAGCAGCCATTCATGGGCATGGGGTAGTGTGTCAGGGACAAAGGGCAACAAATAATGTTAAATACAATAAAGAATTTCCCATTAAAAACAGTTGGTTAAGATGACGAATACATTAAATATCAACAGTTTTTTTTTATTTAGTTACTTAACAAGTGTCTTAAACAGACTTGTTAATCAAAATAGCAAGGTGACAATTATTCTCTTTATCGAGATAAATTCGATCCCGAACCGACACAACATGATCAACTCAATATTTACAGATTTTTTCTCAGTTTAAGCAAAGAAAAAAAACTCTGTAGTGACTTTAAAAGTGATTAACCTTAATGAACATCCTTTTATCAAATGATGGAATGAATTCCACTAGATAATAATTCCAAGAGGCTGCTCCAATAGCAAAAGCGATCATTTTTTTTTTTCGCTCAAAGTCTGAATTTGAATAACTATATTTGCACATTCTCTTGGTCATCCATGGCGAGACATGTCCGACCAAAAAAAAATAAAAATAAAGAGACACAATGCATTATAGATTTTGCATAATTGGGTTAATGAAATAGTTTATAAAGGTATTTAAGTAAATTCGACCAAAAAAAAAGTACTTTAAGAGAATAACTTCTCGATGAGGAGAAGTCTTAGGGATCTTCTTTATGGCCATAACCATGCAAGAATTTTTCCCGAGTCTCTCGTATGTCCTTCAACGACCTCAAAGACCGTAAGAAAAGTAAAGGAAAGAATAATACGTTAACGTTGTCAGGCGGTCTCAGTTTGGTCTAGCCGTTTTCTTTAGCTTCTCTCACTAAGGCAGCATTTGATGCCCCCTCGCCTTCTCTCTCTCTCTCTCTCTCTCTCTCTCTCTCATTGCATTGCTTCTCACTCTACTAGAGCCAAAGACGCAAAGGGAGAGAGAGAGAGAGAGAGAGAGAGACAACAGAGAGAAGAAATTCATACACGCAAATTCAAGAACACGCATCACCATTCGAAGGCAACAGGGGATTTGCAGAGGGGGCTCTCTTGTCGTCGTTTGAGGTTGCTTTTGGATGCAAAACGATAATGGGTTCTTCAGGGCAAAGTAGTGGCCATGATCTGTCGTTCAAGATCTTGCTGATCGGAGACTCTGGCGTCGGCAAAAGCAGCCTTCTTGTCAGCTTCATCTCTTCTTCTGCTGAAGATCTCGCCCCAACCATTGGTACTCCCTTAAAGAGAAAAAAGTTATCTGCTTTCGTCTCTTGATTTCTCAATCTTTTTCGATGTCCATGAGAAAATTTATGGGCAATGGAGCTTCGGTGTCATCACTTCAACATGCCATCTTGAGACTAAAATTCTGATGGATTGATGATGTAACCTGTTGGCTTCAGTTGTTAGCAACAGAGAAGTTGGATCTATGGCTAAATTTCAAAACTTTGAGCGAGTGCACGCTCAGTGCTAGTTTTTAACTGGTGTTGCCTAATATAAGATCCCATAAAAGCTCCCATTTTTGCCTCAGATTTCTTAAGTTGGTTGGCTTCTGTGCTTACGACCTCAAGAATGTGACTAGCCAGTTTTCCTGTTTTATCCACTTTTGCGGCGATTTCGTGGTGATTTGCTGTAGTTTTTGGTCTAGCATTGCTGGTGGGGTGATTAGTAGTGGTTTGAGATCGTCAGGAGTTGATAATATCTTATGTCTTGAGTGAAATTCGGACAGGTGTTGATTTCAAGATAAAGTTGCTCACAGTTGGTGGGAAGAGACTAAAGCTGACAATTTGGGACACTGGTAATTAAACTCGAATGCTCGATAGATATTAGCTTTTTACTCAGAGTCAGTGTTACCGTCTAACATGGACAGACGATATTGTGATTGTGGTGTTCTTTGATTTCTCTTCAAGATTCAATTCAAAGTTCGGTCACAACATCATGATGGTGAATATCTTGTCAAAATATTAATTTCTATTGCAGCTGGACAGGAGAAGTTCAGAACATTGACAAGCTCATACTACAGAAATGCCCATGGAATCATTCTTGGTATGCCATAGATAGAAATTCCTGTGTGATCAACTAAACACGCAAATAACGGCCTGATTGCATCTCGGGATGTGTTATATTGTTGCTACAACACAAATTATTGTTGTATGTACCATGTAATTGTCAAAAGCACCAAAATGCCGGAAACATGTCCTCCCTCTGCATTGATGCCTGTCATCATAATCATGGAAAAAATGGCCTTCACTGCTACATGCTTGATGTGGGAAAGACAAGCCCATTTACTTGTTCCTCACTAATGTTTACGGATTACTATTGGCAGTCCAGCGTCGTATAATTTTTTTCTATAATTAGCTCTATTAGAGTCCTTCTCTTCTGCTAAATGACAATGTGCTCTGCAGCGTTAGGCGCTGCCTATCAGGGTGGGTTAGGAAGACTTGAGTGAAATTCATGGATTTGAGATCCAGAAATGGCCTCATCAATGCCAAATTGGGAAAATAGAAAGGGAGGCTGTTGATGAAATAGCTATTAGATAGTGTAGTATCATCAGATGGATGTGACAGTTTTTTTTGCTAGAATAGATGGATGGATGTGACAGTTAGTATAAAGAAGATATGCAATTTAGATTTGGTGAAGGAAGGATGCTTCGAATCGTACAAATGTATCGATATATTGTCTACGCTCTAGTTTATACCTTTATATATGTTTTGCACTTCTAGTAGCTGGCCAATTGATGAGATGACACATGGCTGTTTAGAGATATATATAGTGTAGCTGGCGACGCTGTTTGATCAGTGAAAGCTTTTTTTATTACAATAATTCGTTTTTGGTTTTCTATCTCTCTTATTTTCTTGGTTTTTACTCGCTGGTTATCTTCTTCTCTACTGCTCAAAGTTGAGTCAAATTTAGATCTTGGCCTATGAAAATGCTCTTAGATGTGGTATGAAGAAACGATGCACTCCATTGACTTTTGCAGCCTCTCACGTAGATCTATCCTGATTCTTGTCGACTTTTTTTCTCTTTGGCTTAGTTTATGACGTGACAAGGAAAGAGACCTTTGCAAACTTATCCAATGTATGGGCAAAAGAAGTGGAACTCCATTCTACTAGTCAAAATTGTGTTAAGATGCTTGTCGGGAATAAAGTTGACAAGGTAAATTCTGAAACTTCATCTGTCTCCTTTAGTTTTCGCAACATCAATATCATGGAATGAATGTGCTTCTCATATTGATTCCTTTAACATATACATTGTGTTTCATATGCATGTAAATGAAATAAAGAGTTCAATGACAAACAGGGGTGGAAACCCTCTAGCACTAACATTGAATCATTGGACTTCTTGTTTAAGAGACCTCTGATCTTTGCTTTGTGGCTTTCCATTTTCCTTGATCTGCAATATTCATATATAGATGCCATTAGTCAATCCAATGCAGGTATATCTTTAACTATTTATCTGTTCACTGTGTGCCTTCAGGATTCTGAAAAGGCTGTGAGTACAGAGGAGGGAATCGCTCTGGCGAAAGAACTTGGGTGCTTATTCCTAGAATGTAGTGCAAAAACTAGAGAGAACGTGGAGCAGTGCTTTGAAAAACTGGCCTTAAAGGTACTCCTCCTGATATCTTCCATATGCTTGTCATTTGTATATCTAATGTGTCAAGCTGGAAAATAAACTTTTATTTACAACTATTACAAATTCACTTTTGTTTCCTTCTTGTTTGTTGATACCAATTCACTGCAGCGTTGCTGCAATATATTTGCATGATATCGCCTTTTGGTGACCCTGAATATCATGTCCTTTTTAAGTAAATATGCAAAACCAATGGTTTTTCAAACAGTCGGGTTTTTGACCAAAAAAAAAAAAAACAGTCATGTTGACTTGTCGTTTTCACCTTATATCCTATCTAGCTTCGCTGTGAAAGCTTCTAAATGTGAAAGATCCAGTATAACTGCAGTAACTGGGTTTGAGGAGCTGTCTCTGTGAAAGATACTGCTTACCATAGATTCCCAATTTCACGCGTGTCAAGTCTGTGAAAAGTGAATGTGGGAACAGCTGGAAACTCCTCTTGTAAAGAAATGATTAGGGAGATAATATTTTTGGGTTTGCGCTTAGTTGGTCTAATTTCTCCTGTAGTCACAGCTTGTTTTTGTGCACTATTATGGATAATGTCTAAATGTGAGAGCGCACGTGTTTTGCTAAGTGTCTTTGCGTGCATGAGCGGTGTCTGCTACCATTGAGCTTGAACAGTTATTTTGTTGGTTGATGTGCTGAAAACAGCGTTGCTGATCAGCCAACCAATAATCCCAAATTTCGTGCCTATGTAGATGGAGTTTTGTCACAACATTTGACTTACTTATCTTTGTCTCGTCCGATCTCTTATAGTATTCAAGAGTGAATTACAAGATTTGTAGCTCATCAATTAAGTTTAAATTTTTTGACCAAAAAAAAAGTTGAGTTAAAATTTGATCCTCAACGGGAAATAAAATCTTGTCTTTCCATGCATCTTAAGCGGATTATCATCGTTCACTTAAGGAAAAACGATTCCTTGAGCACCCTCAGAGTTGTCCACGGAGCGAGACATGCGCATCTAAGGCAACCAGATAAATCTTGTGCAGCACATAACAGTAGACAACTGACTGTTGACGGACACATGAACCTCTGGTGGGACTAACATCTGATTTCAATATGTTGTTATCTTCCACTTGCCAGATTATGGAGATTCCCAGTCTCTTGGAAGAAGGATCAACTGCTGGAAAGAGAAACATCTTGAAGCAGAAACACGAACACCGAGCACCTGCTAATGGCAGTTGTTGTTCTCAGTAGGCCGCATGGTAATAGATCCGGTGCCGAAGCTTTAGTTGCGCTCCAATGGAAGGTGAAAAATCGAGCAACTTGAGTGGAAAGAAATCTTCAGATTCACTCTTGGCCGTGTTATGATCTGATTATGTAAATGATTGCTGCTTTTCTTTTGCCTTTTTCTTTTTCATGTTTGATCCTCTTCTTCTCTTGTAATTTAACCCTGCCGTCGTGGAGTGGCTTTAGTTGTGCCGTCGTTCTATTGATGCCCGACTCTGGTTCGTGTGTTAGCTCGTGTACATTATTGTCTCACTGGATCGTGGTTATGCGACATGCCCCTGGAACAAGTATATTGTATGTATAAATTCTTTTACATTCAATGCAAAGGTCTCATGCCTTTCCTGCCCTGAATAAAGCTGAGAAGCCTTTCGGCATTTGCCTTCTTCCTTCCACTCATCTCGTGCAAGAATTAAGTTACAAACCATTGACTAATCTACAAATAATCTAAGTTTTTCGATCTAAATGGCGACGACGGATTTCGGGAATTGTCAAGATTGCCAAAGAAAATGGTTATTTCTCCCTTTTCGCATGAATACATTCAAGATCCACTAAAGTCCTGTTGGTCTTAACAATTGATTGCAAAGTTGGATCTTCCTCTACTATGAATGGAGTATTCCCAGAACTCAATGCATAAGGGGTGAAAAATAAAAGGGCATTGCACTAGGGAACCGAACCAAGGTCGGCCGGTTCCCGGTTCACCTATGACCTCCGACTCCGAAAGATCAGAAACAGGAACCGAATTTGTGCAATATTTGCACAAAGCTTGTTTGGCAATTACATCAGATGAATAAATTGAATATCGATAAATATGAAGTTTTGGAGGCAGATGTAATAATGATAATCAGTATCTTGGCCTTGGACCTACTTGTACATTAGGAAGATCTATGCAGATTATTCCTTCGGTAAAGTTTTTCTAAATATTGGAAATGCACTATTGCAATCGTTCGTATATCAGAAACTTAGATGTGAGAACAGTTTTGAACCCGAGATTATAATAACCAAGTTTTTGCAAAGCATTCAAACTAAAGAGCTCATAGAATTTGGATTAGTTTTCTCGGCAATTCACAACAAAAAGCCGTGGAACACTCGTCGAGAAAGATAAATTAGCATGCGCACTATATTGCAAAGATAGTATAGTAACAATCAGAGAAATTTTTCGCCCCCCAGGAATCTAGAATAAACAACAGTCGAAAAGAAAAGGAAATTCTCATCGGAAGCGGATTTCATTCAACAATCTGAAGGGATTGTTAAATAACAAAATCGGCACAACCCTGAGCCACGGAAGATTGCAAATTACAGTTATGATAGATCATCTTTTCTATTAGAAAACTGGCTATCCTAGGGTATGGAAATTACACACCACCACAACAAACCTGAATCAAGCAGAAGGTCTGAACCCCACATGAACACCAAGGAAGGTAAATGAGATTATATGAGTGAATAGCACGAAGCATGCATGCTCTAGCCAGAAAATGGCAGAAAAACCTAAGCCTCACTTACTGAGATACATATACAGAAGAAAGGACCTCCAGGCATGAGCCATTACTCTCATTGACCCAATAACAAAATCAGCTAAGCCTAAGGAAGAATCCTGACAACCTTAATCACCACAGCCATAATAAATCAAAAATTGATGAAGAATCACAAGAAACTACTGACAACTCGTAGTGACACCAGCAGCTTCCAAAATTCGTTTAGCTTCGGTGTCCGGATCAGGTAGCTCACCAGGGGTCTGGAAATAAATAATATCAGAAACACATTGAGGGAGAGGAATGCAAGTGGAATAGTCGTGTAGGTACATACCTTCCCATACATGTTTGTCTTTGTGGGATCAGCTCCAGTAGCAAGCAATATTCTTATAATGTCCACATGTTCACCTCTAGCAGCATGATGAAGAGGCTGCAGAAAAAAAGTACAGCAGGTTCTCTGAGTTCTTATTTTATAACAATTGTTATCAATCATTTCTTACTATGATAAGAAAGCATTGCAGCACACGAATTATTATTTTTTGGTCGAGAATGGAGATCTAAAGTTTGCCTCAGCAATTTTATGTTCAAAGACATCATGCAAAACAAAGTTTCTAGTTGATTTGAGCTTACTGTATCTCCTTCGTCATCGTTTGTCTCCAACATCCTTTTCACACATTCTCTATTCCTTGCTCTGTTAAGTAAAAACTGAACTATGTCGACATATCCTGGACCATTAGAAAGAAAGGTACCACGGATAAACAAGTATAATAACAAGTCCAGAAAAGTTCATGGAGAACTGTTGTAAATGCATATTGGGACATCATTCTACCCCCAGCACAAGCATCATGAAGAGGAATTGCCCCATCTTCATCCTTAGCTTCCAAGCAAGCGCCTCTTTCCAAAAGTAACTACATAAGCAGACTAATTTCAGCTTAAGGAACTCAAGGAAACGATGGACAACAGAAAGATAAGGTACACATAAAAAGATTTAAAACCGATTGACAGAAATGGAACTTTTTCTTTTTGACCTGCACACAAGGTAGATGTCCATATAGGCAAGCCAGATGCAAAGCTGTATCACCATCTTCCACTGGCTCGTCGATACTGCCATTTAAGTTGTCTATACATAAATGTGAAAAACATTCAGCTAGGAGGCTTTCAAACACCAGTATAATGATCAAGTAGTTCCTTCAGAACCGCCCGCAGGAATAAGATCACAATAACACAAATGACAAGTAATTATAATCACATGATCTATCACATCTACCCGCAGACTAGAACCGCAGCTTCAGAAGAACATGGGTAAATTTGTCTGAATTAGCTCATCTATAAGGCCTGATCCTAGAGCACCGTGCATAAAAAAACAGCTGCACCACTAATTCCCCGACAATTATAACTGCTTTTTGATCTGTAAATCGCGAATAACTTTTCACAGCAAGAACATCATTGCTTCGGCTAAAGAATTTCTTCCTAAACCTTTTCAAGATCTTTTTAATGTTAGTTTATACTGACACTGCAACCAACAGCAACCGATATTGCCATCACCTCCAAACATCGACTGCTGAACTTCAAAGCCTATGGATGGCGTCTTTGCCATAACTAGCAAGGCATGTTTCTGGACTGCATTTCTGCGGACCGATTGTTTTCTCATCCCAGGGCGCAACGTCATCAACTAATACCTACAGCAGCCTTTTTGCCACACTGCTCTTGCCCGCGCTATTCTCGCCGGTGCATCCAACTCCGACACACAACACCGCAACCACCAAACCCCCTCCAATCTACATAGCATGACGATTTGCATCTTCGCAAAAGTACGATGGACCTTGGGTTTCAATGAAAACATGGTTCGTGGACACACTTATCGATCTATGGAAATTTGCTTAGAATGAACTACTGAAACTAATTCACTGCAATTGCTGGAAAACGAATTGCGTGATTTCCAGAATCGATTGAGCAACAAAAGAACAAATTCATCAATTACCCTTAGCAATTGAAAAAACCTAATTGAAAAAACAAAACCCAAGAAGTGGAAAGACCAAAAAATCTAAGTCAACCGACATATCCATGCGAACAACCCAATTTGGAAGAGAGAGAGAGAGGGAGAGAGAGACCGAGAGCGAGGCGGAGGGCGTCGACGTCGCCGTCCTGGACGGCGATGGAGAGGTCGCGGAGGTGAGGAGGAGTGTAGGAGTCGGGCTCGAGCAGACCTTCCTGTTCGAAGAGGGCGTCGTTCTGGTCGTCCTCGTTCTCGTCGTCCTCCATGAGCCCGTTGCGCCTCCCCGGAACCGCCATCCCTCTTCTTCCGCTTCCCTCGGGGTGGGGGAAGCTTTGCTGCTTTCTACAAGTCAGACAGACAAGAGCTCTCTTCTCTTCTTCAATGGGGAAGACAAGAGGAGCACCCGGACATCTCCCCTTCCCATTGCCTAAATATCTTGTTCACTTTTGTTATTTTGGGCCAGGTTTATTGGTCCTAAATGACCAAGTTGGGCCTAATTGGATTGGTCGTTCGAGGACAGGGTTTAGGGTTTGTTGCCCGAACGGCTTTCGATTGGTGGGTTTCACGTGGGACTCGCATGTCCAAGCTGGATGGTTTATCCATGCGGATCAAAGAACCCGTCTCTTCGTATCAGAGAGTATGTCAATCTTGAATTGATCGCGAACCAAGTCACTCTAAGGTCGAATGAGATCTCAAGCCTTGAATTTGAATTCGATAATTCATGATCATTCTAGATCGATTCTATCTAAATGCTTCTTTTAAGATATGGCTATTGCGATTCAGCTTGTAAATTTGCTTATATATATATCCGTCACAGAATGGCTGTTTTATATCTGTCCTTTTCACTAATTTGAATTTGCCAGAAGCCTGATTTCATATCAAATTTAGAAAAGATCTTTGCATTACAAAGCCTATTTAACAAATACTTTTTATTAGGAATTGGATATCTTATCCATTTTAAAACTGTATTCAAGGGCTTATAATTTATTACCAATCTTGGAACTCCTCTTTCTAGTTCAGCATTTTTGTTGACATAAAAAGCAGAGCAACTCCAAGGAGACTGGCTTTTCCTAATAAGCTTCTTCTCAAGAAGTTCCTGTATTTCTTTTTGGCAGAAATTTAGAACTTCGTGATTCATTTGAGAAGGTCTAGCTTTAGTAGGAATATCCTTTTCTCAAAATCCTGGTTCATAAGGTAAATCAACTATGTGACATTTACGAGACCAGAAAGCATTGGGAATATTAGAACATATGGAATTTTTGATTTGATTATCAAGATTGGAAATCTTTTTCTGAAGGTTTGCTTCAGAGAGATTTTTGTCAATCCTCTTGTATTCAAGGTCTTCTTTAAGAAACTGAAGATGAGTTTCTTTATCTTGAATTATGCAATTTATCTCAGAAATGGAATGTTCTTGAAGAGTATTCAAATTTCTGGTTTGGGGTTTTGAAATGAAATCAAAGCAAATTCTCTTGCCCAAGGTTTCAGTTTCAATTCCTTTTTCAGAAACTCTAAAAGGCTGAAGTAAATTGATAAAAGGTGACCCCAAAATAATATTTTGTTTGATATTTTTAACAAGTAGAAAGGGAGTTTTGAAAGAAATTTGGTCTTTCACAATCTCGGCTTCAAGAATTTTGTAATTAATCATTAGTCTATCCCCGGATGCTGATTTGAGAGACTGGGAAGTTTTCTCAAAATATTTGGTTGGAATAAGACCTTCTTTTATACAATTGAGGTCTGCACCAGTATCAAAAAGGGCTGAAGTTTCCAAAATAATTTCATTTTGGATTCTGATAGAAATATTGATAATCCACTTTCTAGTGGTAATTTCAGAAAGCATTAAAAGGAAGTTTGTATCAGAAGAAGGAGGTTGAGGGATATTTTCTTCAAAATCTTCTTCTTTTTGTTTTCCTCTTAAATTTTTCATTTTAATATTCAAAATGTCTTTTTGCACAATTATCAGAGTAGCCTTGAGATCCTGGATTTCTTGTTTTTGTTTATTGATCTCTTGAGTTAGGTCACTTATAGAAACAGGTTTAAAATTTGCTTTTTTGGTTTTGCCAAGAATGGTTGAAATATTGTAAGGATTATCAGTTTGAAAAGTGGTTTTAGAAACTGATTTGGGATTTTGAAATTTATTCAAATATTTAATCTTTGTTTCAGGGTCAGATATCTCATCAAAAGTTTGTAGAAGAATTTGTTCTTCTTTTGTCAAAACATTTATTTCAAAACTGGTGGCTTCTTCATCTTCACTTTCTGAACTTGATGATGAAGAGGTTTCTAAATCGCAAATTTGCAAACCTTTTTCAAAACTAGATTCATCAGAAGAACTATTATCAGTTTTAATCATTAATTGATTGAGTTGATTAATAGTTTCTTCATCTAAATCTAACTCATTAACCTTTTTGCTGAGTTTGCAAAATCGAGAGGTGTGGCCTTTCTTGCCACAGTTATAGCAAGTGATATTTTTAAAATCCCTTTTGGGTTTTTTAGTTTTATTAAAATCATCATTTTCTTTTTTCTTAGAAAACTTTTTATCAAACTTCTTCTTATAAGGCTTCTTATAAAACTTCTTTTTATCCTTTTGTTTAGAAGGGCATTTTCCTGAACATTTGGATTTTTCAAAAGATTCAAAAGATGGATCATATTGGGCACAAAAATCTCCTAGTCCTTTTTTTAGAAAGTTTTTGTTCTTTCTTGATTTGTTTTTGGAGACGAATGTTAGTGCATAATTGTGTTCCTATTTTATAAATATAAGAAATTAGTTCACCATAAGAAAGAAGGTCATATGGAATTTGATTTTCATATTCTTCTCTTATCTTACCACGAACTTGTTCTCCTATGAGTTTTGGTAAACCGGCAAGAAATTTTTCTTTCCAAAAAGACTGATTGCAGTCTGTTCTTTGGAAAACTCTTTGCAAAAATATTTCTTTATATTCTCTGAATTCTCCTAAATATCTACATTTCATATTAGATAAAAGATCTTGATTTTTATCGAGAATATGAGAAGAATCTCCTAGAAAATGTTGGGATATAGAGAATATCAAAGTATTAACAGCATCTTGGATAGGTTGATCATCTTCATCAAGAATATTTTGACCAAAAGGGTCGAGTTTAAAGGCATTTAAAATTTGAGACCTTTGCTCATCATTCAGGTAGTTATCCCACCATCCTTTAAGCTGGCCTGTAAATCCGGCTATTAAAAGATATGCAACAGAATGATCGGATGTATCAGGGATGGTCTTATAAGTATTAGCAAGCATGACCATCTGAGTCAGAATATTAATAAGGTTTTGCTCGGAAACACCATCTATATTCCATTCATAGATAGCATCAGAAGAATATTTGTTCTGGACTCTAGAAAAGGTTTCTTCTGTGAGAATATCAGGGGGAGTCGCACGAGAGTAATATAACTTCTGAGGATCCTTCCAAGTGATACGATTTATTTCTAGAAGGGATTCGGTATCGGACTTATCTAAAAGATTGATTTGATTAGAAGGCTCAATGCGATCCGGAGTATCCTTGACACTCAAATTTTGTATTAAAGGGGTATCCAAAATTATGGGATTTTTAGGAATTAAAATTGTTTTTCCTTTGAGGAGTCTCCTCCTATCCTCTAAGGCTTTAGCAAAATCAAGACTAGGATTTTTTGGAATTTCAAAATTCCTAAAGAGAGGAGGTTTTAAATCCTTTTTTGGAATTGTTATAGAAGAAGATGAGAAACTATTTTGAGTAAGATTCTCAATTCGATCAAGCTGCCTTCCTATGGTATGAAGATGTTGATTAGAAAAGTTGTTTTGTTCAACAATCTTCTTAATACCAATGCCATCTATTTCAGAGGCAGTTTTGAAAGGAGAAGCAATTATTTCTGTTTCTTGATGTTCAAGTTTGATTTTTCTAAGGGGAGGATGATTAGATTCGATGATATGGCCATCGTCTAATCTCCATTTATAAAATTGATCTAAGACAAAAACCTGTTTTTCTTTTAGAAATTCATTTTCAAACCAATCAAAGAAGAATACTTGGATTTCATGTAGGTACATGTAATCATAATATTCCTTTTTGATTTCGAGTGCTTGTTTTTGAAAATTTGCAAAGAACCATTCTCTGATATGTTTATTTTCAAAAGAATTGAATTCTTTATTCAAAATGATTCTGTCAGGTTCAAAGGCTATTTCCAAAACATTGATTTCAGGATCTTCCATTTCGGAAGGAGTTGGATCAGGGAAATCGGGAGTATTTTGATAAACTGGCCTGGAAATTCCGGACCTGTTATCTATACCACTGATGTTTGGAAGAGGAGGAGCACTAGCAGATGCTTCCTCAGTATTATTCAAAGGGATATTCAAAGGAATATTATCTACTGACCTTCGAGAAGAAGTAGAATGCCAAGAAGGAATTGATCTAATGTCGCAAGACCTTCTAGGAATATCTATAGATCTTCTGGAAAATTGAATAGTTACTCTTCCTTCAGGGTGTTGAACGATATTGGTAGGATCAGAATTTTGAATGATTGGCTGGGGAATTCGGTTTTCTAATTCCCATTGATCAGGAAGGGTTATCTGATTCCAAGGAATGGTCCTGGGAATGGTAACATTTGCTTTTGAAATATCAGTTTGCAAAAGAAGAGTTTCTCTATTGGAATTAAGCTTGAAAGCTTTGCTTCCGAAGGCAGAATTCATTACTTTGTAATAAACTCTGTAGATAAGAGCTATGGGAATAGAACCTTCAGCTATGGAATAATTATGAGTTTTTATTTGAAGAGTAAGAGATTTTAAAATATTCTTGTCTTTGAGAGAGACTGTAAGACCAGGATGACTATCAAAATGAATTGGTCCGCTGCAAAGACTGGTCTCGACAGCACCAAGAATAGATTCTTCATATTTTAAAAGTCTAGCATCTCTTAAAACAAGGAGTAAGGAAGTATCTAATCCTTCTTTGGTAAGGGGTTTTGCACCGACCTGTACCAATCCTATGTGCATGTAGTTCCATTTCTAGGAATGCTTTTTTATAGAATCCTTATTCAAAAGTTGTATTGAAGCAAAGGAGTTAGAAAGTGGAATATCTCTTTCTTCAGTAACAATGACATAATCATTGTTTCCAAAGAGTCTAAATTTAGAATGTTCATAAATTTTATCCAACTTGACTTTTGGAATAAACCAATTTTCAATAGATTTATTGAAATCTTCTATATTAATTTCTTCTCTATTTATTGGTCCTTGATCTGAGGACATTTGTGATAAAGAACTAGAAGAAGACTCAGATCTCCTTAATAAGTTCATTTCAAAAGACTACTTTCTTCTTTTCAATAGATTTCGTCGATGCTTACCAACGATCTTACTACCCCACTGGGCTTTACTGCTTGGAACACATCCGGAAATCACTTGAAAAGATCTCCACGAAGGAAATCGTCTTTACTGAG